TGCCAGCAGTTTATCTCAGTTAACGAGAGGAGAAGGCATGTGTTTGGCTCCTTCACATAGTGGACATTGAGTTGTTGTGTGGGACACCAGTAGCTGTAACAGTAGTTCATGTTTAGAATAGAAAATCTCAGCTCACTGATTTGATCGGGGCAATAGTGCCTAAACTGCTGCATAATTTTGCTGAGAGATCTTTTACTTTGTGGTAATCTTAGATGAGTAGTTTTATGGACAAAAACCACCAGGTCATTCAGTGTTCCCTTAGTGCTAATGGATAAGAGATGTTGGTATAGTATAACTGAAGTAATGATGTTAAGTCCTTAAAGTCATATTCTTTTATTGTCATGACTGTATTTGAAGCTATTTTTACTTTTGTATGATACCTAATTTATATGGATTATGGCTGAAGTAAACTAAAGCCTGAAATACTTAGTCATTTGTTTAATAGTAATTTAACATTATATAATTCACATATAAAACTGTGTGTAAATTGTGATTTTAAATGGTTTAAAAGCACGTAGAATAGCATATGTAGCCAAGTATATTTCTCCTCTTTTTATTAAGAAGCAAAAACAAAAAGGAAAAAAAAAAAGAAACAGGGCAGAGTTTGGTGGTTGAATCATCCATCCCCACCAATGCCAAAATCAAATCTACGCCCTTGCTTTTGACGTTGCATCTGAATGGAGCAAAATATTTGAAGACTGTGGTAATCGGTATCTACATTCCACATGACAAATGTTTTTTGTAAGTCTTAGAAACCAATGTTGTTGTCACTTTTAGGCAAGCACATTAGTCGTGTGTGCACCCACCTTCTTGGCACCGGACAGGTGGGTGTGGCTGATATATATAGACTCATCCGTCTGCACTGCTTCACTTTCAGGGCAATAATATTCAATTAAAGTGGTCCAAAATGCTCCTATTTTGGGTTCTGCAATTTGGTATGTTTTTTTAAAATATTTTTTTTATTTTAATTGTGGGATATATTTCGAATAATTTAAGTTAAAATTTTAGAAAATTGAATAATAATGTTTTTCGCTCATTTTTCAGCTTTGGTGGTTTTCGCTTGCGGTAAGTAGACTAGGGTTTAATTTTTCTTCTAAAAGCTGATGTGCATGCTACATTTCACATTGCCAGATTTGTTATTATTTTTGATGAAAATTAATTAATTTTTTTCAGTGGACAATTTAACACTTTTGTCGTCAGCCAGACCCCAGATTTATTGCATGCCTTGTGTGTCCACTCATCAATTCTGTTGTTGAAAAATTAAATCTGGCAGTGTGACTGATTCTCTATTCTAAACGGACTCAGTTCTTATTGATTAAACTACTACTTGAAATATGTGCTTGTTGACAGAGCCCACAGGAGATACTGATGCAGCCTCTAGAAACGACTGTTACCGGTGAGACACACTTTCCTCACCTTATGTGCGAAGACCTTCAAAGTGAAAGGAAACTTTCCAATCTAAGCAGATAATTTATTAAGAATCTACTTTTCAAGTCTTGACATCGTGATATTTTTAGTACAGGGAGATGTTAAAACGTGATCCCTTCAGTCATATTGTAGCTAAGCAGTGCATCT